GGCAGTGGTGAAATTCAATTTTTTTTACTACGGTTCTGTGGGCGTCGCTTGGTGGGCATGGCAGGGGAAGGATACTGCAAAATCTCCATTCCCATCCCACTCCAGGGGAAGGATACTGCAAAATCCCCATTCCCTCCCCACTCTGGGACCAGCCAGAAGTGGTATTTGCCAGTTCTCCAAACTACTCAAAATTTCTGCTACTGGTTCTCCAGAACCTGTCAGAACCTGCTGGATTACACCCCAGTCGTGGGTCAGTAACTACCTGTAGTATCTTGTACCATTCATAGTTTCTGGACCAGGCCAAAGTAATTCCTTAAAAAGCTTATGTTTCAGTTTTTCATTTTAGTAGCACCATTCTGCATTAAGCCCCCATTTGCCCATAAACCCTCCAGATCAGAGGTGTCAAACTCAAGGCCTGCTGGCCAGATCTGGCCCGTGGGGTACTTAGATCTGGCCCGCAGGGCCGCCTGGAAACAGCGAAGGACTGGCTCGCGGTGCCTCTGCCAATGAAAAGAGAGCTCAAGAGGGCCACATGTGGCCCACCTGGGCTCCGTTTTCACCTGCAATGGCCTCCTACACCCTCTGCCAGTGGAAACGAATCTCCTTTTCACTGGCAGAACATTCGGGCCACCACAGGCGCCCCCGACATGACTGACATCGAGCTGGCCATGCCCACCCTGGCCATGCCACAAATCCCCCCCCGAGGTCAAACACAAACCTGATGCGGCCCTCAATGAAATCGAGTTTGACACCCCTGCTCCAGATCAAATATCAGAGTTGTTTATTTTCCATCTCATACAGTATTTTCCAGAAACGGCTGTTTGACAAAGCACCGCAAGTATAAAACAACCATTTAGTTTCCACTTGGTTTCACATCTTATCCAACAGACTTAATAACAACCTGACAAGATCCATGCCAAGCAGAGCTTCATCATCGCAGACTTCTTCTTTTCCCCATACGGCTTCATTCCCAATGCAGACTCCACATTCATTAGCTCCCATTTCAGCACCCCATAGCCAGGATGGACGGCTCAGGACAACTGCATAGGTTTCGGGTACTTGTTCGATTTCTATGTAAGTACACTACAATAATGATAATTTCAAAGATATTTTACAGATTATTTTTAAAATTACATACAAACGATTCAGTACTTCCCTGAGCTTTTACCATGGTGCTGTGGGGCTCTCAAACCTCTGACTGGAATTATGAGATTCTTTTGAACAAAATGAGGTCCTGGAATTTAGAGGTTCCAGTGGAAGGCAACAAGAGCAAAAATCTGAGTGCCCTCACAAATTTGTGCATATTGTCTTAAATGTAACAATTTATGGGCTCAAATCCTGCCTTTTAGACCATTTTTCTTATGAAAGCTGTATCTAAATTTAGAACTATCTTCATGCAGGATTTTACCTTTAAATTCAGGATAAGAGGCTACAGCAATAGCACTTAGACTTATATACCGCTTCATACTGCTTTACAGCCCTAAGCAGTTTACAATGTTAGCATATTGCCCCCAACAAACTGGGTCCTCATTTTACTGGCCCATACCCTAAAATGTATTCTAAATATTCTAAGATAGAGAATATATTTTGTTGGAATGACCTTGAGTTGTCTATCTCTCACTGTGCAAGATAAAGAGAAAAATCATTCAAATTTAGATGTCTGACCCTATACCAAATCAAATATTGATGAAAAGGATTAAATAATTTGCTTGCAAAAGTTCTTAAAATACCACAGAACTAGGAAAGATTGATGCCTGGAATTATGGAGAACTATTTCCATTGGGTGCAAATAATAGTAACTAGAATCATACACATTGTGCTAAGCCATCATTTGCTTAATCATAGTTTGGATTACAATTGGCTTGGATTAAATAATGAATTAAATCATAAACCACAGTTTATACATTGTAATGGTTGAGTTTGCAGAATACACAAAACCCCAAACCAGACAAACCACACGATGGTTAATTGCAACTTTGAGCCAAAACCTGACAGCTAATTTGTATTCTCCAATGATCAGGCTTGAAATAAACCAGATTTTGATGGCTGGGCAACTTCTATTCTTGGTTTACAATTTCAATCCAGTATAGGTATCTACTAGAAACCGCAATGATGCAAAAATGATAAAAGGTACACCATGACATCACAAAATAAATCTCTTCCTCTGTCTCTCCCTCTCTCTTTTGAACCCAGATTTGACTGCAAATTTTACAGGTCACATGGTTTGCATCAAAAAACTGCAATGCACAGTTCATCATTTCAATTCCATGTAGATACCTATGCAGGCAAGCTATACAATTACCCAAGCATTTGATTTTGGATATAAATATGTTTATTTTATCTTTAAAGTTTCTCAGATAAAACTTTCCAATAGGTTTTATAATATTTCCAGAATTATTGCTCTTACCTCAACTTTTTGTCCTGGATCATGAACGGCAGCAGGAAAAAACACAATCTCCTGGACTTCATCGGAAGGCCTATCAGAATTTTTCCCAAAGATGATTCGGCCACCTAGTGTTGCTGGAGGCAGAGCCACAAAAGTATCACAGGAAAAGGGTTCAGCAACACTGTTAGCCATCCTGAAAAATAAAGTAATAAACAATAATATCTCTCTGATTGCTCCATAACGGATGAACCACTATTGTAATTTCCCTTAAGATAGATATTTACAAAAAATATAGTGGAAAATATTGCACAAGGTCACACATGTCTCTGTAACAAATTTTCTATCATATATATATGGACTAAAATAAATTGTTGAGCAGAGCTACGTGTGACTAGACCAGTGTTTCCCAACTTTAGCAGCTTTTAAGATATGTAGACTTCAACTCCCAGAATTCTCAGCCAGCATAGTTTACAAATACTGACCTAGAGATCAGGAGAATTTTAGATCTTTTAGAGACATCCACTATCCAACTGTTATATATCCAACCACTGTTTATTGCTGACAAAGTTATAGAAATTTCTACAAGTTCTAGAGCAGTGATGGCTAACCTTTTTGCCGTTGCGTGGCAAAAACGGGAATCGCGCGGGAGGGTCGCGCACGCGTGCCCACACCCATAATTCAATGCGCCCCACCCCCCTGCACATGCATCATGACCCACCCGTGCTCCCACCCGCTTTTGGCATGCAATGGCATGGTGGGCCTGGTAGGCCCATTTTTTGCTCTCCCCAGGCTCCAGAGGCTTTCTTGGAGCCTGGGGACGGCGAAAACAGCCTTCCCCACCTCCTGGAGGCCCTCCAGAGACTGGAAACGGCCTGTTTCCTGACTTCTGGTGGGACCAGAAGGCCCGTTTTTCACTCTCCCCAGGCTCCAGAGGCTTTCTAAGAGGCTGGGGAGGGCAAAACCGGCCTTCCCCACCCCTACCGGAGGCACTCTGGAGGCCGGAAATGGCCCATTTCCTGACTTCCAATGGGCCCAGAAGACCCCAAAATTAGTTGGCCAGCGTGCACATGCGTGCTGGAGCTGAGCTAGGGCAATACTTGCGTGCCCACAGATATGGCTCCGTGTACCACCTGTGGCATGGGTGCCATAGGTTCACCATCGCGGTTTTAGAGGAAATATCATTCATGACTCAATTTCATCTTAAAGTGGATCTCTCTATCCACTTGAATTACAAAATAGGCTGCATGAATCCAGCTGTTTTTTTGAGATCAGATGCCAGATACGTACATGAATAAGTAAATACTGTATATGAAAGCCAGTTTGGTTAAGTGGTTAAGATGCTGGCCTAGAAACCAGGAGACTGTAAGTTCTAGTCCTCCTTGGGCATGAAAAACTAATTGGGTGACTTTGGGCTAGTCGCTTTCTCTCTCAGCCTAACTCATCTTGCAGCTTTGTTTTTTGTGGGGAAAATAGGAGGAGGAATATTGTTATGATTGCTACCTTGTATATATAAAAAAGTAGGATTTTTTTTAATGGAATAGGCAAGAGGAGGAGGAGCATATCAAGTGAGAACTGCACTGCACATAAGAAACCAAAAGGGGGAAGGAAGGGAAACATTGTCAGGCTAAATCAAGCGGCTGTCAGAAAGACAGAGTAGTAATAGGCAGATTCTCCACTAGCACAAGTTAGTCCCAAACATTGCAAGGAGGTAGCTTTTCCCAACGTGGATGCTTTTCAGAACTTGGCTGTTGGAAGACCAATGGGGGAAGATTTATTTTCCAAACAACAGCAACTCCACCGCTTACTCACTAGTTTCTAGGCTGCTTGCGCGAATAAAAATAGACAAACAGGATTAAGGTGCCACGACACGGGTGTTAAGGTTCAGGCTCTAGATCTGACAAGTCTCCGTGTTAAGGTTCACGCTATCCAGGCATCGGTTCCCCCTTAACCATGCTGGCTTGCCGAGCCCGGTTTGATGGCTTCACGTTTGTAAACCAGACCCTGCTAGTTTGCGCAACCGCAGCCAAAGCCAAAACAAACCCGAAGGCGCACAAGTTGTACTTTAAAACTTTGCCAAGGATTTGCAAAATGTCAAAGCAACAACGGGCAACAGATCACACCAAGCTAGCAAGCTGCTGTTGTTGGTTTTTTTTTCACCCTTGCTGAATCCACATTGCTTCAATTGGCTCGTTTGGTTTTCTGTTGTAAATCTGCTCCCTGTTGTTTCTGTTTCACCCAAGCCCGATCGGTTACGGGTAGCCGTTTCTTTTTTTTTCCCCTGCGGTTCTCTTACTCAATGGGGAAACCGGCAGCGCCTCGCAAAAGCCTTACGTCAGATCCACAAGTCGGTCTGGCGTCACCGCCTTTGCCTTGCGCGGAGCAGGCGCCGCGCTGATGCTTTTTCCGCCCTCCCAGTCGGCGTCCAATCCTGCTCAGGCGGGGACGCAGAGCAGCTTCCCGGCCTTCTCCAGCTTGTAGAAAACGTCGCCGCTGCTGCCGATCTCGCCCCGGAAGCCCCGGGTCAAAGTCGAAGCTGGCCCGGGTGAAGTAAATAGAAGCGGAGGGCGGAGGAAGCCAAAATAGGCACCGTCGCAACGTAAAAAGGGCCGCCGCTTTCTCTTTCTCCGACCCCGCGGCAGCCGCCGCAGCCGCAGCCTCCTCGCCACCATGGGGAAGTCATTCGCTAACTTCATGTGCAAGAAGGACTTTCATCCCGCCTCTAAGTCCAATATTAAAAAGGTGAGCGGCCCGTCGGTCTCGGGGCCATTTCCCGCAGAGAAGCGCCTCTCCCTGAATGGGAGATGTTTATGTACACAGGGAGTCCTCGACTTACAGCAGTTCGTTTGGTGGCCGTTGGAAGTTACAACGTCCCTGGGAAAAAGAGTTGTTTTTTTTTTCACACTTAACGATCGGTGCTCAGGCAACCAAAATGTGGATGCTTGGCCACTGGTTCATATTTATGAAGGTTGTAGTGCGGCCCCCCTCTCGGGATCCTGTGAACACCTTCTGATGAGAGCAAAGTCAATGGGGAAGCTAGATTCACTTAACAACCGGGTTGTCGGCTTAACCACTGCAGGGGGTTCGCTTAACAGCCCTGGCAAGAAAAGGGGGGCAAAACTCACTTAACAAGAGGTCTCACTTATTAAGGACAGAACTTTTGGGCTCAATTGGGGTTGTAAGTCGAGGACTGCCTGTATTGATTTAGTCAGTTTGAAGGAGCTTTCGGAAATTCTCCCTGTTGGGTTTTCCTTCCTCCCTGAAAAAAAAAAAGATCTGAATATGCATCCTGGGTGCAAAATAAATAAATAAATAAATAAAAATCCCCTCCTGTCCTCCAAAGTAAACAAATAAATCCAGCATATTGCCAATTTATCATCCCCCCCACCCCTTCTATCTCTGCTTTGTTTTGCTTGGAGATAATTGTCCTGGTAGGGACCAGAAATTACTGTTTCCATTATGAGTCCTCTTTACTCACCAAAGAGTGAGGGACAGGGTGCCCCTTTTATACTATAATGCTTTGATTTGTTTCCCGGTTTTAGGCATTTCTTTTCCACAGCCTATCCTGTTGAATTTAAAGCAGGTGTCCGCTGCTAGACTCTAGATTTGCAACTATAACTCGTATTGTTTTATATGCTTAAGAATAAAAAGGGGGCAGAAATAAAATGGGATGGAGGAATTAGCAATGGAAGAGTTTAGGAGGGGCAACTGTCAAATGGATCCCCAGACATCATCCATTAAAGCAGGATCAGGAAATCTTCCAGATATTTTGAAATACCACTCCTACAGATCCTTGCCAGCCATGCTGGCATGAACTGAGGAGAATTGAAGTCAAAAAAATAACTTCAGGTTGTCTATCCCTGTCATAGAGCCAGTTTTGTCTAGTGGTTAAGGCATCAAAATAGAAACTGGGAGACTGGGAGTTCTAGTTCACCGCTGAGGCATAAAAGCCAGCTGGGTGGCCAGTTACTCTTTCTTAGCCCAGCCCACTTCACGGTATTGCTGTTTTGGGGACAATAAGAGAATAAAGGAGCATTAGATACGTTTGTTGCTTTGCGTTATTTATAAATAAAGTAAAATAAAGTAAATAAAAAATTGTACAAAATATACATTTATACCGATGCTCAAAGGTTGTGAATAACTGTCCTGAGATCGACTTTGAAGATGTAGATGGCTAGCCACAAAGATATCTACAAAATATAATGTGAATTGGTGCTTAGGCTGTATTCTCTCTATATATGATGTATCAGTCCATGTTTCTGGACGTATATGACAATTTGTGCACGTAGTATAGTGCCAGATTGGTGTAGTAGTTAAGGCATTAGTCTAGAAACTAGGGGACCATAAGCTTTAGTCCTGCCTGAGGGACAAAGCCAGCTGGGTGACGTTGGGCCAGTCACACATTCTCATTCCTAAGAAGCAGGGAGTTGCAAATCATTTCAGAAAACATCCTCAGGATCTATAGTCCAGTCACTTGCCAGGAGTGAAAAACTGACCCAAAGGCACAAAACAAAAGCAACAAAAATGACATACTAAACCGTAAAATAAGTATAATTGCCAGGTTTATCATTCAATGTTTATATTAATGAAGCTTTTTAGGCAACAGTCCTTATCTAGAAATGAGTCTCACTGAACTCAGTAGAGTTATGCTTTTTGTTCTCAAATAAGCAAACAGCAGATGTTCTGCCCCAGCTACGAACCCAAAGAACGCAGCACACACAAAGTCTGTACAAACCTTAGTTTACTAAATTAAATCAGTCTTTTTCAAACAAAGGCTGTTAATTATCTTTCTTAACAGCCTACAAGAATCCAAAGAATAAATAATCGTAATCTTACTATCGTTGGTAGAAAGCCCAGAAGCAATTTGCAGAGAACTAAGATCAAGAGGTGAAGGAGAGTGAACGAAGTTGTTCCCTGCAAATTGCGTCAGTCGTCGTCCTTCCTTAAATAGGCTAAGGGAGTGGCCAATTAGCCCCAAGCCTTACTCTCGAGGAGACCTCCTCCTGAGGAGCCACTCCTCCTTTTGGCAGCTCTGTGCACCCGTGCACTGAAAATAGGCTCCTCCTCTTCTTCCTCTTCACTTATGGGAGCTTCTGGAGGTTCTGAAGGCCCTGGCTGAATCCCCGCCTCTGGCACCACATCTTCTCCAGCCTCCTCATTGTCTGACTCGAGTGCCAGCTGCACAGGTTGCTGGCGCAGCACCACACCAGCCTCCTCGCTGTTGGAATCAGCTACTAGCTGCACAGGCTGCTGACGGGCCACAACAGATGTTGATATAGCATGGAACTTCAAATTTCCAGTGAAAAAAGGAGAGGGATCTTGTCCATCAACCAAAACAGCAAAAGGTATTAGATCACGGGTATCAAACTCATGGCGTCACGTTGCCATCACGTGAGGTATTGTGACATTTTCCCCTTTGCTGAGCTGGGGTGGGCATGGCCTGTGCGTGACCCATCCGGCCTGTATTAGACAATTCCTGGGGATCTTTCTGATCACAGAAAGTAATTTACCTGCATTGTAAAAAGAGTACTTCACATTTAATATCAAATTGTTCACAATTATTTACATACTTAAGTAGATTACTAATAATAATATTAATTACTAATAATATATCATTTTATAGAGACAATGTTAATATCAAGGCTGTTTCCATTGATTTAGTCATCAGAATCTGTAAAATCCCATCTTCCTGGTTTTTTAAGCTGTTAATTGCCTATTTCATCAGTTATTAGTTTGGTTCATTTCAAATGTCTTTTTCTTCTAAAATGAACACATCTGTTGGTTCAGCTACCTTTAGGGGTGTTTTCTTACCAACTCTCAAGCAAAGGAGTGCCATAGAGACTAAATTGTATAGGTTGTCATTGAATACATGTTTTTCTTCTGTCAAATTTTCTCTTGACCTTTACAGAGGTGTTAGTATCCATAAGAGGCAAACTATTATGAAATGTTCCATGGAACATAGTGATAATAGTCCCATGGAGCATAGTGAGTTGAGTTCATCTTCAATTTCTAGTAAGAAAGCTAACTTCTATATTAAATATTTATGTTAAAAGGCCCATCGTTTCTTACTGGAGTCTTTCAAGAACACCTGGATAATTTTTTTAGTAATGATTTAAAATTACAAAATTTTAGAGCAGTGTGGATGCAATATAAAATTCAAAAAAGAGAAAGGAGAAATTTTTGCAGGAATGCAAAAATTTTTTTTACAAAATCAATCTGTTCTAACTAGGTATGGATGGCAGAACAGAAAATATCTTATGACAGGAAGAAACAAGAAGAATTAATGCAGCAATATCTTAAAGAACAAGAATCTTATGATAACAGGTGAGATGTGGCTCATTATTTTACACTTGGGTGATAAAAATCTGTAAACAAAGTATAACCCTTTAAATTTGTGACTCTGCTGGTTGTTGTCTTTATTATACATGTTTGTTTTATAATGTTTCAGTACATGATTGAAATATTTTATTTGCTGTAAACATCTCTGAGAAAGATGTTATTTATTTAATCAATGTATATGCCCATCCAGCTCAAAAATGGCACTCTCGGTAAGAAACAAAAACTCCAAAATAACAACTAATATGGTTGAAAATAATTATAACCAATGATCAGATATAATGTACTCAAGAGCCAAAACAATCCATTTCATCATGCAATCAATAGTAAGCAGAAAAACCAACTCAGTTCATATGACATCCCAGCTCCAGAGCTGAAGGGAAAAACCAGGTCTTTAAAGCTTTATGGAAGGCCAGTAAGGTGAGGGCTACCCAGATCCCATGGAATATGCTTTTCCATATAATAGGTACCACAGCAGAGTACCATAGGTGTGTCTCCTAGGTCACTGAAGCTATATTCTGAAGCAATTTCTACTTTATACAATCTGCAAATCTTTCTTTCCCTCACTTCCTAGAGGTCTCAGATCACATGCACTGCTCAGACTGAAAGATCAGAGAATATCAGTGTTTTAAAAATTGCATTTAACATGTGGATTCTTTTTTGAAAAATGTTCTCAGTCTCTAATGTTCTTAGTTCTCTAATGGTGCATTAGAAATGTGCATGACAATCTAAAATGTGTGGAATAAAAGTTAAGCCTAGGAATACTTTTGGAGCTGAACTTCCAGTTTAAAAAGTAATTATTGCTTAATCTAGAATTATTATTATGTACTGCAGATATTTAACATTTTTATTAGCTATGTCTTATTGTGGAAACATGCTACCTTTATTTTAAATATATATTTTGAATCAATATATATATCTTGTGATATATCATAATTTTATTATATGTTTATAAAGATTGCTTATGGGAGATGAACGTGTCAAGAATGGTCTAAATTTTATGTATGAAGCGCCACCTGGAGCAAAGAAAGGTAATTTTAGTTGTTTAGTAACTAACACAATGTTTACCAACAATTGTATAGTAACTATAACACTCATAAAAGTGTTCTTGATCATCTTGTTTTAATTGTGACAAATTTTTCCTGCAGATTTTTTTTACACCTGTGTTTATCATTATCTTCCCCCACCCCATTTTAATTATAACTGAAAAGTACTAGAGAATTACAGTTAACACCTGGAGGAGTAAATATTTTCCTAGCAAACAATTTCAGTTTTGGGTGTACCCAGATAAGGGTGAGAAAGACCACTCTCTCAAACACAGGAGAGAGCTGTTGCAGTTGTGTAAGACCAAATGTCTTTCACCTGTGAAGGTTTGACACCATTTTACCTAATCCAGCTATGTTGAACTTCAATTTCCATTCTGGCCAGAGCTTTTGGGAGTTGAAATCTAACACATCCAGATGGCGTCAGTTTGAAGAGTGTGGAATAGCAACATTCAATTAAGCAGATCAATGGTTTGACTTGGTACAAAACAGTTTCTTTATAGTAGATGATATTGCAGACTTTAGGAAAGACCATTAGAAACTATAGCCAACAGTATTAGCAAAAGGAAAAATTTGCAGTGATGCCCACAATTGTTGATTTTAGAAGTTGGATCCTGTGTTGTAGTGGACATGATTTCATATCCTATTTTGCTTGCTTGCTTGTAAACTGAATCAAAATATTGTGATGTGCAGAGCATCTTATCACTTGTAGAACTGAAAGCAAATTTATGAACTGGCAATTGCTCCTCTAATCAACAACACAGCTCATATTCACTCTTATACCCCTGCTAATCCTCCATGTGTAACTATGTCCTCTCACAAGAAGCTGCGGTAAAGTGATTTAAAATTAGGAACAGTCTGCCACAAAATGCGGTAACAGTACCTTCTGCAATTTGCCATAGTTGGAAGTAGTGTACATCTTGTATTCAAATGAGGTGTTCATTTGCTAGGAATGGTTAACAGCCCACTGACAAACACTGCTGGAAAAGTGGTAGCAGGCATACATGGGACCCAAATAGGACTAATTATCCATCTTATTGTTAAATTTCATGCAGATGTTGTCAAAGTCTCTAATCAGAGTATGAGCCTCTAAGAAAGACTCCTTACACTGAGATGGAAAATTTTTAATCTTCCATATGTCCAAAAAAAAAAAAAAAAAAAAGGCTATAGATCAGGGGTGTCAAACTTGTGACAACACATTATCACGTGATGTATCGCAACTTTCCCCGCCTTTGCTAAACTGGGGCTGAGCGTGGCCAGTGTGTGACACATCTGGCCCCAGGACCATGAGTTTGACACCCCTGCTATAGATATAGGGAGTTGGAGAGGATCCTGTATTCTTGTCAAATATGCTAGAAGATTCTAGTCTTTGAGTCATTTTAGGCAAAGAGCTGAAATGCTTCTGGTTCAAACTTGAACCCTTGCAGATCGGTCATACAATAGTGGATTAAATATTCTTGTTTTTATATAATATTTTTGGTTTTGTAAAAAAAAATCCTGAAATAAGCATCACTGACGAGTAAGTCTACATGTAGTGAATTTCTTGAGTATGATTACATAAAACTGCAGGCTTTATTATAAATCTATAACTCACACATTTGGTTATGCATAATTAAAAAGCAAAAACTAAATTTCAGTAGATTAACTTTATGAATTAAGGTGTTTTTCAGAGGTCTGTGAATTGCATGATCTGAATGTTTTTGATATCCCGGTTGCCTACTATATGTCTCATCTAATGGTCTGCCTTATCCTATTCCCTGCCATTTCATCATGATCATCAAACAAGAAACCAAAGAGGTAATTTCAATGTTTAATTTGTCATGTTTTCTCATATTTCAAAATCTCAATGTGTATATAAATATCAGCTTGAGTTTATGTATTGTTGTTTAACAGGAGGGAGAAACTGATTACAAATTTGAATGGCAGAAGGTAGCTCCACGTGAAAAGTAAGACTTATTGCTTTATAATTTGATTAATGTATTCTGAGAGCTGTTTTCATGGATGTGTTCTTTAAGCAAGAAGCTTGTTGTCTCAAGCTGTATATTTTACAAAATGAACAGAGGCACTGCCTTTTCAATAGACAATACCTCTTGTATTTTTTTCCCCACAGAAATAGATCAGCTGAATACATGATATCAGATCTTAGAATAAAATGTTGGAAGGATATAAATGGAAGGAAAGCACAAATTAGCCAAGAATATTATTGAGACTGTAAAGTACACATTCTGTGTTTAGATACTGCTTTCATATAATATCTAGGATTTTTCTCAAGGACTTCATGTTACAAAGTTTCTCTTGTTCTTTGCTGCCTGTCTAGAGTTCCCAAATCTGTCTCAGAACACATCTCAACCTTCTAAAGCAGATTCAGCAGACATGAAGTCTGTAACAAGAGAGAGCCAGAGCTATTTGCAAGTACAGTAGAACCTCTGATCATGACCATAATTCGTTCCATAACTTTGGTCACAAACCGATTTGGTTGTGATCTAAACCTAATTTTGGAAATTTGATGCTTACAAAAAAATGGCGCAGAAGGGGAAATCGGCCGCAGGAAAAAAAAATGTGGATTTTTTTGGTCCGAACCGATTTGGTAATGGTCAGAAGCGTTCGTGACCAGAGGTTCTACTGTAGTTCACTCCATCAGCAGATACATAATAAGCACATTCAAAAAGTATGAACAAAGTTCCATATTTATAAAACTTTCCCTCTCCTGAAATGGCCCGGGATGAACAATGAAATTCAAGGAAACCATCTTGCTAATATCTTTCTTGTGTATATATTTATTCAAAATGTCAGCCTATTATTTTTCTGTTTAAAAGATAAATACTACTGCATCCCAAACTGAAGAGTACTCAAAGTCATATACAACTTAAATTTGCATTAAACCTGAATCAGCTTAACCACAAAGAGCAAAGGCAAGAGACGTATAAAATAGAATAGAATAGAATAGAATAGAATAGAATAGAATAGAATAGAATAACCAGGAAGCAATGGTGTTCTATTAAAATAGTAAGAATAATGAGTAGAGCAGGAAAGCAAATAAACACAATGAAAGCACGATTTTAGATGGCTAAAAATCCACATGCATCATAGCCTTGACATGGTGAATGTGGCAGCTTGAATAAAAAGGGTGAGAACAGATTTTTCAAACGTTAGGTAATGGTTGTTCTTGCCATCTAATTAAGGCTTCCCCAGGGAACAGCGATCTTGGGATCTTATTTAGAAGTCATGTTAAATGAATCTTAAGTGGAGATTTCCCTTTTTACTCAGCCTTTCTTGATGTCAGGAAGAACCAAATTTTTATCTGTATGCTTTTTGGATAAATGTGAATGAATTAGAATTAAGAAACATTTTGATGCTGTGATTTTTGCACTTTCAACAATTGCAGCCATGTTTTTATCTTGTTTGAATCCCCAGTAACTAGTAATTATAATTCTTTGTAATGCATAAATAATATATGTATGCTTCTATTTTGTATTTAACAGATATGCTAAAGATGACATGAACATTAGAGACCAGCCATTTGGCATCCAGGCAAGTTTTATGAATTCTTCCTTCTATTTTAGATGGATTTCATGTATTTAGTAGTGTACAATAAATGACATTAGGCTTGCATTACGAAAACTTTACTTTGGATATAATGGAATAAAACATGCTGAACTGAAATGTGAAATTAAGTCAATATGAATCATTTTCAGGTGAGGAACGTGAGATGCATTAAATGTCACAAGTGGGGCCACGTAAACACAGACCGGGAATGTCCTTTATTTGGCCTTTCTGGAATTAATGCAAGCTCCGTTTCCAGTGATGGCTCAGGTAGGTGTCTAAAAGGTATTTCAATCAGTTTGTCAACTAATGTCAAGTTCTGTTTATCTATATTTTATTGAGCTCAGCAACGATTGGGTGCTTAACTAAGATCGAAGGTCTTCTGTAAATGCTTTCAGGTATCTTAGGTGAAGAGAAAATATTTTTGTGTGCTAATGAATTTTCCAGCCACTGTGATTCAGTCAGTATTCCAGTGCTCAGTCTTTGCATGGAGTTCTGTATGAACATTAGAACCACCAAATTGTGGTTCATGTTTGTATCCCACCTACAGATAACTGATCCCATGGTAATATTTTGGATAGAGTAATTTCAGGATGATTGCACCCAAACTATTGAAAAAATGTCTGTAAGGAATTAATGAGAATCCCTTAAAAGTACTTTAAAAGCAAAAGCGCTCCATACCAAGTAACCAAAAGAAATAATACTCTTATTTGCGATAGGATTTTTTCTTCCTTATTCCTCGACTGTAATGCTAATCCATTTGTCGATTCAGACTTTTAAAAATATAATCTTTTCACTTTCCAAAGTCTCCTATTGAATAATATATCTTGCTGGTGAATGGAGATAATTTTTTCAATAAGGCAATTTCACTGGATGTGGTTATCATGGGATAATCACACCCCTGGGGTACAGCCTTGGCTGTAATCTCCCAGGACTGTAATTATTTCATGACAACTGTACTCCCCCTGATGATGCATTTATTTCCATTATGAAATCTTAGTCTGACATATAAAGTAACTTACTTTGATCATTGGAAACCACATAGCAGTGAGAGAATGTTCCAGCTGTGCGGTTTACTGAGACCCACTATAAGATTGACTACATCCTTTATAAAGTTAAATTAGGCAATCAAAATGCTGTTTTACCTTAAGCTGTTTTTTTTTAAAAAAAAAAAAATACTGATACTAACTTTTACCATTCATAATAAAAAAAAGGCAAAACTTCATGCTCTACTTTTCTATGTGAGTTGGACGGCATTGGCATGATGTGTGATTAATTCTTCCTCATTGAAAGCAACCATTTGCTTTCTAACAAACTATTGTTATCAGCTATTACTGTTATCAAACCATGACAGAAATGCCAGAAAAACACAGTTCTGATACTTTCAGAAGGCAAACTGGCATTGCAGGTCAGATGCTGATCATCCAAAGCAGCTGCCAGTCATCTCTTCCTCTATATCTGAAAATAGTAGAACTTAAGCGATGCCACGCCGTTTCTCATGCGGGAGGGGGCATTAGTGTGGCAGTTGTCTTAAAATTTGCCATAAGACTTAGTTTAGTCTTAGTTTTACATTACATGGGCACAATGAAGTAGAATTTACTATTTCTAGCAGCGTTTTTAACCAGATGTACACACCTATCCCCAGGGAAGCTTTTACTCCAGTTCTTCTTGCTATAATACATTCAGTAGCAGGAATAATTAAAATAAGAATGCATTGAATTATAACATTTTTCATTTTGCTGGGTAGAGCTGATAGGAGTTGGAGATCGGAAACAGTTGGAGGCTCACACTGACATTTATAAAAGTACTGGAGCAACCACCCTTATTGGAGAACTGGAATGCAAAGTAGTGGTATCGATCATTTTAAGGACCTCACCTTTAAATGGGATGTGCAATGCTTTCTCAGTGCAAAAGGATACTGAGATGTTGTGCATCTTTAGAACACCTTTTCTCTACCTTCCTGTATGATAGCAAACTCTTCATATTTTTCCCCTCTGCTACATAGTCACTCTGTTACCTATGATTGTAGAAAAGTTATTTTACAGCATTTAAAATAATGCGAAAATGCTGAAAAACATACAAGTATTTAGCAAAGTAATAAGTAGAGCCAAAGTAGGGTTCTGATTTTTTGCTAGCAAAACCAGAATAAATAACAACACGAGAGAAATTGGTCAAAGTTATTCTACAGCAAGTCAAAACATTCTACTTTTGGCACATATATTTAAATTGTCTGATGAAGATTTTTTAAAAAATTTTTAACATGGTTTTTAAAAAGAGTGAATAGTCTTCATTCAGAAGGCCATGGTGATGACTGCTTCTTGATCTGTCCCCGTCCACACACACACACAAACACAGCCAGCCGAGGGTTAAGGAAGCACTTGGCACACACCCAGGTCTTTATCTCCAACTTGGCAGCGATATACACACCATCTGCCAAGTGCTTTTATTGCCACAGAAAACAGAAAGATAATATACTCAGCGTACAAGAGTCCAACAGAAATAAATATTCCTCTCAGCAGTTTCGGACGAGGCTTTAGTGACTATCCAAGGTTTATTTTTGTTCGTCACAGGGATCACTGGCCACCACCCTCTATTATATAGTCTCTGGGGTGTGGTCCAGTGACTCAGTTCTAATCCCTAGCACGCCTCCTGAGCTGCTGCAATCGTTTATCACGCCTTCGGAGGCGTGCGTCCAGGAATGATGTCTCTCCTTCACTCTCATCCGAGACACCTGTCCCTGCTAATCTCCTCTCCCTCGGCCGGCACCTGAGACAGTGCCAGAGGGGAGGGGCCTGGAGAGGGAGGCCTGGCTGACTCCTCTTCCTCATGCTCGGAGCTTTCTTCCTCCGAGGGATAGGCTCAGAGGGCGGGGCCACAACACTTCTTTCCTTTAAGGCTCCAGCCAACCAGATCCTAATCCAGTGCATGAAATGCAATATTCACAATTAATCTTCGAAATACAGGTTTTAAGGAAACCTTTGAATCATAATTTCTGCAGATACTCAGAATTAGAGCATCCACAATAAATGACTGACCATTGCTGATCTCCAGAAAGGAAGGCCTCCTGAGTCTCCTGTCAAACTGCTCATATCATTAAGAATTTTATCCTAAATTTCTACTGGGATTTTCCCCTCTTATACATTATGTACAATAAAATAGAAAAACAGAGTTGGAAGGAATCTTTGAGGTCTTCTAGTCCAACCCCTTGCATAGGCAGGAAACCCTACACCAATAAATCTTCTCCTGGCCAAACAACTGTCCTTTGTTTGATAAATCTTATAATGCTTTCCTGCACTACGTTTTCTCCAAACAAATTATCAGCCCACCAAGATAGACCAAGTCAGGGAACTGATACTGCAAGGGTTACCCATTGTAAAGGAAGGGCTAGGACAGCTTGGCAGGGACACTCTTTGCCCAGCAACAAACATGACAAGATGAAATAGTCGTTGACATTTGCTCTCCTTGGCCACCAGAACTTTCTGAGCACCCAATGCAAAGTTTTGAACACTACCTCTGGCCCTGCAGCTGTTATGGCAGTCGTGTTTATTCTGTAAAAGAAGGGGAGTATTTTAAATGGCTATTTTGGAGCCATTGTTCTTCATTGACAGAAGAGGTGAAACCTCACTCTGTGGCTCTCCCTGGAGGTCATTCATCCAAGCCCTGTTGTTGCTATACTCTGATCTGATGTGAAAGATGTGGTTATTTGTTCACCCAGCTCTTGGGAGGGGAATCTATGGAGTTTCCCAAACTCTAGGTTTTGGAGCAATTTGGGCACTTGCTTACTATGTGCCTTCAATTCCACAGCTAACTCAGATGTTGGATATAGTAAGTCTTGGCTGTTGGTTCTGCACCTGCACAGGAGAAATATAAATCAAAATCTTTCCACTGCTGAGGACAGGAACATTTTTATTTGCATGAGCTTTCCAGTGCTGACATCCAAAGAGGCACCAGAGGGTGTAAGAGAGAAAGAGTGAGTGAAGAAAGGCTGTAAAACCTCCCCTTACTATAAAACCTTCCTCCATGCCTCAGTTTTCTAATCACACATCAATTAACATGCAATGTTGGAACAGTTCTTCCCAATTCCCTGGTGTGACTTCACTTACTAACTTCATCTCTCATTTCATCAAGTCCTTCTCAAACCTGGTCCATCATTCTAGACTACTTCTCTGGCAGATAAGTGAAAATCCAATACGTTCTCACAAACTCTGTGTTCAGCTTATACAGTAGATCTCTCAGTTGGGCTTTGTCTCCCAGCTGAATCATCAAATACATACAGCTCTAAAACTTGGCATAAAGTTCTGCTAATTATTCATCATGGATCATTGCTTTCATTGAGAAGCACAGACCCTTAGGCTGTCCCTTCCTTTGGCAAGCCCGGAACAAAAGTGCCCCAACCTGGAGTGATCTGTAGGAAATTCTACTGGCTGACCTAAACAATTCACACTGAGTTGTAAAAAAATCAGAAATTGATCCCGGGCTTTCAAATTTTTCTTTCAAAGGTCCATGGGAGTGAAGAAGTTCTGGTTGGGCTGTTGGTTATCGAACCTTGTCTCAATTGCTCTGTTAGTCATATCATGACATTGTGCAGGATTGTTAATTTTATAGCCACGCAGTTTATTGTAACAGTACATCAGCGAAGTTGTGCTGTAGACAGTGGAATGTCCTGAGGATCTGACGCCATCTCTACAACCAAAAGTAAAGTTCAGTGCCTTTCGGAATAGAAAGTAATGAGGCTCTCAAAATTGAGGTCAGCCCTGAGAGGAGGTCACCACAAGGACTAGTGAAACCCTGGTTTCTTGCTGTGTGAGATAATAGCAGAAACTTGAAAACCTGTCAGACTTTCCTCTGACTCCTTTTATGCCCTCAAGGCAGATTTATTTTCAGTCTCTTTCTCATGTTCTCTCCTTTCTCAGACCTGAAACCTACTTTACAATTTGCTGATAGTCCTTGAATACTTTTGCCAGTGTTTGTCTGTGTTTTCCTCCACACAAACATACATCCTCCATTTTTCCTTTTAAATCCCCAAGAAATAGTTTTTCATACAGTAGAACCTCTGGTCACGACCATAATTCGTTCCATAACTTTGGTTGCAAACCAATTTGGTCGTGACCCGAACCTAAATTTGGAAATTTGGCGCTTACAAAAAAAATGGCGCAGAAGGGGAAATCGGCTGCAGGGGTGTGTGTGAATTTTTTGGTCAGAACCTGATTTGGTCTAGGTCAGAAACATTCGTGACCAGAGGTTCTACTGTATTTTTATTCATCCAAAATTGCTGTCTTCTAAGCCTGCTTCAGTTTGTCTAGCATTTTCTTGAGGGGGCACTCAAGACTCCAGATAGAAATCCAGATAAGAACCAATGTGGAGTCAGAAGATACTGTAGGGCTGGGATGGAAAGAGCCTGATTCAAGTTAACCACCCATCAAAACTTGGACTAGCCATATTCTTCTTGGAATGTTCTTTATTTGAGGGTTAAATTAACCAGGAAAATAGTTTGCTTGTCATCTTGATCCTCTGGTGAAGAGGTATATTATAAACATAACAAATAATGAAAGAATAATAAACTGAAATTGCTTCTTATCGTTTGAAAAATATGATTTTGTTAATACAGATGAACATTTTATTAATCTTGTTTTTTAATGCCATTACACTGTTGATTCAGCTGGTGATTAACTGTAACCCAGTCAGCTTTTACATGGCTTATAGTTATGTACAGTAACAGTGCAGTGAATTAAGAACCTCACAGCCAGAAAATGGGATCAGCCCGATTCTTGCTGTGAAATAACCAAGCCATAAGAAGATGCTTAACTCTCAGCAAACATTCATGCTATAATATTAATGAAACACATTTAATATATCTTAAAACAAACAAATTCAGAATTTCTTATGTAGGAATTGCTCTTTCTACTTGCAATGGTAGACTTGGTACCACTTTAGATCGAGTCTGGGGTGCTAATCATAGGATAAATAAGGCAAGTTGGTTAAGAAAACAATCTCATTAAAGTAAAATTTCTCTGCACAGTATGTAGGAAAATAAAGCCAGTGTATGGAAATATATTTAGTTAAAGGAAAGAAAAAATGTATATTGCTTTGGAGCAGAGGCAGTAATAAGAGCAAACAACATGAATTCTGAACACTTTCATAAATACGTAGACCTTAAATCCTTAAATAAACTTAAATGCAGAGTACACCTTAAATAAACTTAGAAGCACTAGCTAAACTTTAAAAGCAAAAGAATTCAATCTTACAAATACCTACTATCTACATATATAAAATGTATTTTAGTTTTTTTAATTGTTTTCACAAGCATTTATGCTAAACTAAGGCTTTTTAAAATTTTTAACATTTAAGCAACACATCTAGTATTTATGTTTTTAAAAGTGCTCTAAAACCATTTGGATTTTCAGGCATCATGTTGTGAACAACCCCTGACTGACCTTGAATCATTTTGGAAAAAACTAAGCAAGACTGAACTACATTAACACAGCCTAGTGTGAATTAGAATGGAAACTTGAGAAAACATGCCAAAAACTACTCAACATGGTGATGTCCATGAAATCTCAAAAAGCTGGCCTGAGTTTATTCTATGCTAGTTAAAATTATATGAGAGTGCAAGGATGGAGACCTCCCCATGTTATCTCCCAGCCTTGATCTATTTAACATTTGCTACATAGACATTAGAAGCAATCCCTTTAAAGCAGTGTTCTTTGGGAGTATATTGATCCCCTAACAGGATAAATGAATTTGTCTGACGCCATAAATAAAACTATTTCATTGGGTTAAGGTTAGGGCAGACATTAAACATGCTGCATACTTCTAATAATGAATCTATATATTGCCAAGGGTTCTTTGACTTTACAGTCCTATAGCTGCCTGCTGTACTATCGAAACACTGTCTGCTTGGGTTCCTGCTTGAACTGGAAAAGGAACAGCAGAGCCCCAGGGAGAATTGTAATAGGGGAGTGTTTTTTTTTTTAATGTGAATCTCTTTTGGGTTACTCAGGACTATAGACACACACACATGCAGCTTGTGGAATACCTGCTCTAATGCATACTCTTGATGTCAGAAAATGTTTTAGTTTGGAAACTGGCTTGCTATACTTCAATTTATGTGCTTGTATCAAATGCTTATAGACAGAACTCACCTAAAATATATTGCTTTCAATGTGACAAAGTTACATAAGAAGAGAAACCCCTTGCACTTAAAGAAAAATGCAATTATTTTCTATTCTGAATCTCCAGACTGCTGTTTTAGAAAATCGTATCTGATTATTTGCTCAGCAGAAGATTATTGCGTTGATTTAGCTATGATTTTACTTAACAAAGCTTCCACTGAATTTCCCACTGTGTAGTCCAAAAAAGGTAGAGAGATATAAATGATACATTCAAACTGTGATTTTGGTGAACAGGGCCATCGATGCACCCCTCAGAGCTAATAGCGGAGATGAGAAACAGTGGGTTTGCGCTGAAACAAAATGTACTGGGGAGAAACTTGACCGCAAATGATCCATCCCAGGTAATGATCTTTTTATCAGTAAGCTGAAAATGTGTGTAAATCTAAATGTGATTGGTTGTGAATTGTTGCTTAATGTTTTTGTAATATGCATAACCATAGGAACGCCAGATAGGTAGAGAAAGCTCGGTGTCTCTTAAAATACCGTCTGTTTTCCCACTTTTTTTGTTAGCTGGAATGATAGTCTAGAATTTGTCCAATCCATAGTTTAATAAATGAAAAGCCGCCTGCAGGTTAGTAGAGATTTATTATCTACCAGAGGAAATGGCTTTGACTTTTCTTTACTTGCTTATGATGGCGGCTGCTTTATCTAACTCTATCCCTTGGTGAAAAATAATGACAGTGCCGACCAGGGGATGCCATACTTTGGAGGTGCAATTCTGAATACTGCCCTGTGTGTTGCTGGAGATTGTATCATTTCTCTCTGCGTGGCTACCAGAAGGGAAGCTTGACAAATGTAGGGTAAACCCTTGCTTATCAGAGATGGGGAGTTATGCTGCCAGAGCCGGAGTTGTGGTGCTATTTCTTTTGTTGCTGTCCTGTTTCTTGGATTTTACCTCACTTACAGCATAGTTAAATCACTTTCAGACAGAAGTACATGAAGCCGCGCTTACCGATCAGCGACCTTTCTCCTCAAAAGGAGCATCTTAATAGCAAGCAAGATACAAGTTTCTAATTGAAAATATTTGTAGCTCAGTGTTGGAATGAGGGGTCCCTGGTGCTCTCTGAGCTTGGTTGTTTTCTTGCAGATGTTTTATTACCCAAACTAGGTAACATCATCAGTGCTAGTAAGGAGTGCAGCCAAGTCCAAAAAACTAGCCAGGGAATTTCTAGAAGCCTGGCACGCTGGCAAATTAGCCATCAATAGACACATAGACATTAACAGTATCTATAGACTATGCAAAATTTATTTATTTATTTATTTTTATTTTTTTATTTTATTGAATTTCTATACCGCCCTACTCCCGAAGGACTCAGGGCGGTGCACAGCCATGAAATAAAACACATAGATATACAAAATTTAAAATCGAATAAAATGAATTAAATAAATTTGGCTGAATTAATACCCATAATTTAAAATACCCATAATTTTAATTTTTTAAAAGAGGCAATCAACCAGCCGAAAAGAGTACCAAAATAATCCAAGCACCCCTCCACCCAACAATCAGTGCCCAGATCAGCATCGATTAACTCCAAGGTTAATATCAGACCAACATCAAGTAAGCAATACTCCAATCCAGAAACTGCCAAAGAAGCCAACAGTAAACAGCCCACCAAAGAATCTCTAAGACCACCCCTACCAACACTGCCAGGGCAAGCAACTAGAACTGACAGCAAACAGCGCTCCTTACTAGCATTGATGATGTTACCTAGGTTGGGTAATGAAACGTCTGCAAGAAAACAAGCTCAAAGTGTATGAGGGACCTGTCATACAAGTTTCTAGATGCTTTGTGTCCTTAAGGTTCAGCTGCTTCTTCTTGTTGTGTCTCATACGAGTTGGGACTGTCAGACGATACTATTTGAACATGGTTTTTCTAATGTCCTCCAAAATGGCTATTCAGGCTGGAAATTGGGGGGGGGGAAGCATCTGATTGGTCCTAGGCTCCCTTTAAACTACACTTCATATGGGGACAAAATATAGGTAGCCCTAGACTTACAACAGTTTGTAAACAGTTTGTGAACAGTTTATAACTGTTCAAAGTTATAATGGCACTGAAAGAAGTGATTTGTGAACATTTTTCACACTTAGGACGGTTGCAGCATCCCCATGGTCATGTGATCAAAATTCAGATACTTGGCAACTGACTCATATTTATGACGGTTGCCGTGTCCCAGAATCACGTGTTCACCTTTTGCAACCTTCTAACAAGCAAAGTCAACGGGGAGGCCAGATTCACTGAACCATCGTGTTACTAACTTAACAACTACAGTGATTTGATCAACAACTGTGGCCAGAGAAGTCATAAAATGAGGCAAAACTCACTTAGCAACTGTCTTGCTTAGTAACAGCAATTTGGGCTCAATTGTGGTTGTAAATTGAGGACTACCTGTAATGTAATGTTAGGATGGTTGCAGATTAACGCACTTAAGCCTTGAACTGCTCCAGTTGGGTAAAAGGGGGTTTAAAAGGAGATGGGGAGGTGGAGGAGATGTGGCTGAAAGGAACTAACCCAACTAAGCCAGCCAGTTGACCCTATTCCTGTGCATTACATTGGTGCTCTTTTCTTTGTGGCAGCATTATATGTTCTGCCTCTCAAAACAATATTTATTCAACTATTTTTAAAAATATATTATTTATATTCTGTAATCTCCATACTGTCCCTTCCGTCCATGTTCTGTAGCTAAATCTGAGCCACAGTGGCGCAGTGGTTAGAGTGCAGTACTGCAGGCTACTTCTGACTGCCAGCTGCCTGCAATTTGGCAGTTCAAATCTCACCAGGCTCAAGGTTGACTCAGCCTTCCATCCTTCCGAGGTCGGTAAAATGAGGATCCAGATTGTTGGAGGCAACATGCTGACTCTGTAAACTGCTTAGAGAGGGCTGTAAAACACTGTGAAGCTGTATATAAGTCTAAATGCTATTGCTATTGCTATCTCTCAATCTCTCTCTATTTTTTAGGAATACGTTGCAAGCGAGGCAGAAGATGACCCAGAAGTAGAATTTCTGAAATCCTTGACAACGAAGCAAAAACAAAAACTTTTGAGGTAATCCTATCGTGAGGATGTAGAGGCTTCTAACGAGTTATTTTGAAGTTAAAAGCTCTACTTTTATTCTATTATTCTATTGTAGAATAATTGTGCAGAATACTTAATCGCGGTTTATCTTTTTCCCATGATTTTAAGTCCATTATCATTCATTGCTTATTTGAGAGGGATTTGCTGAGAGCTGGGGGTTATTGGGGTTCTGAAATCCCTTCCTCTTGCTTTGCTGTGTGAGCAGCACATCCTTGAATCTTTATATACTTGGCATTTGCAGAATGTGATTGCGTGATCCTTAAACTGTTCCCATTATAATACTATTTTATATGCTAATTTGTTATGAGGAGAAAACATAAATTACATTGAGTAATTCTATACTACAACTGAAAGATAATGGATTATTTTTAACAAAAAAATTACATTTGGAAATATCTCATTTGCTTTTAACTGGATCCAACATTAACCCACTCTTATTCTACTATAGTTGATAAAATTGGCTTTTAGAAAAGTAGAGCTTGTACATAATTGATCCATTTGTTTTATATTTTGTTTGTACTACTCTGATTAAATACTTAGGTACCTAGTGAATAGGGACAGATAACTTAAGGATTTAAATGATAAATGAATATATTCACTCCAATGTAAGTGTGATATCTAGGACAGAATGCATGTATCCCTTGGATTATCTCCATCTCCTTTGCAGGGAGAGGGAAGTGCTAAGCAGTGCTTCCTCCACCAGTGTATTAGCAATAGCACTTAGACTTATATACCGCTTCCCAGTGCTTTACAGCTCTCTCTAAGCAGTTTACAGAGTCAGCCTATTGGCCCCAACAATCTGGGTCCTCATTTTACCCCCCTGGGAAGGGTGGAAAGCTGAGTCAACCTTGAGCCGGATGAGATTCCAATTGCCAAATTACAGGCAGCCGGCAGGCAGCAGAAGTAGCCTGCAGTACTGCACTCTAACCACTGCACCATTGTGGCTCATTTAATGGTTGTTTAACTCAGTAGCTTCCTACATGTACGGCAGTAACTGCTGGATCTGATAGGGAACTTTGCAGGTAGAGTGTCTCATGTTGAGGAACATGTTCCAGTTCACCCATTGCCCTGTTGTTAAGTGAGACATTTGTTAAGTGAGTTTTCCCCCATTTTACGACTTTTCTTGCCACAGTTGTTAAGTGAAGCACTGCGGTTGATAAGTTACTCACAGGGTTGTTAAGTGAATGTGGCTTCCCCATTGACTTTGCTTGTCAGAAGGTCACAAACAGTGACCACATGACCCTGGGACACCGCAACCGTTATAAATATGAACCAGTTGCCAAGCATCTGAATTTTGATCACTTGATCATGGGGATGCTGCAAAGGTTACTATGAAAAACAGTCCTAGTTCACATTTTTCATTGCCGTTGTAACTTTGAACGGTCACTAAACGAACTGTTGTAAGTTCAGGACTACCTGTAGTGCTCTGCTTTTATAGCAACCATGCTATAAAACCATGCGTTTTAAAAATTCTATGACAGCAGTGGAGCCATACTTGTTGGTATCTGGACGCTTTAGTGTCAAGTTTGCTCTAAACCTTTTAAGAAAAAAAAAAAAGATGATGAACACATTTATTAGATCAGGATATACTATATCAAGGATGGCTTTAAAAGAGTCGAGAGGCAAGTTTGGGGATTGATTCTTTTTTAAAAAAATAAAATAAAATAATAAGCTTATAATCTAAAATTTCAGTGTAGAGTCTCTACTTGCTGACCTTTTTTTTTAAAAAAAAAGGATTGCCCTGTTATGCCACTTTGTTTCATTGGTCAATTTTTCTCTGTTCAAAATCAAAGAAAACTAGATCGCCTAGAGAAGAAGAAGACGAAGAAGAAGAAGAAAGACAAAAAGAAGAAAAAGCAGCAGAAGCGAAAAAGTAAAAGTAAACACAGAAAACATAAGAGCAGCAGACCCTCTTCCGCATCCTCCAGCGAGTCTTCAGCAAGCAGCAGCGACACTGAGACCAGCAGCAAAGACAAAGCCCCCTGCAGAAAATTAGATTCTCAGAAAAAAAGGAGAACCCGGTTTTCCGAGTCTGACAGCAGTGATTCTGATGATGAGAAGGGGAAGGAAAAACTTTACAGAGATCCCTCCGGCAGACATGGTAACAAGGACAAAGATAGAGAGAAGAACAACAAATGGGGCTCCGGTGAGAGCAAAAGAAATCCCGCAGGCAGAAAGGAAAACTCAGAGGGGAGAAAAGAATCGGAACAACCCGGACATGTAAGCAGGAGCCACAGCAAAGGGGAGAGGAGCAGCAGGCAGAGCTCTGATTCAAGGCAGCGGGTTTACTACAGTCAAAGTGAGGAACGAGACAAGAGTAAGGAAGTAAAAAGCCACAGTTCAGAGGTAAGCAGAGAGCAAAGGAAGCGTAAAGAGAGCCACCCTGATGAATACAGCAAGAGGGAGCACCGAGAAAGAAGCAGAGAGAGGAGAAAATAGAGAAAGTGGGTGGTGCGTGCATTTTTTTCCCCTTTCTTTTTTTCCCCCAACACCTCTTGGGAAGGGCTCCTACGTCTCAGAAAATCTCAGCCTCACACTTCAAACATTCTTGTATACTTACGTTGTATCTATCATATAAGCAGTAAATAAACACAAACCAGGTTTTTCCATTGGAGTTATTTAATTCGGAGGTGGAGGGGAGTGGGAAGAAAAGTTATTTGGTACATCTAGTTTTCTTTTGCCATTGATACTGGTGTGCAGTACTGGAGTTTCAACAATAGCATGGTTCTTTCTTTACATAATATATCTAGACAAGCCTTTCAAGAAACAAAAGAAGACATGGAATTATTTTGTTGGCATTTAATGTGGCTTGGAATAAAATTCCTGTTAAGAGGCATAAAAACTGGATTATTTTGATCTGAACTTTTAGTTTCATTTTTGAGGATGGTTTCCTAAGTTAAAGCAACAGAGCAGCATTGTTCAACATAGGCCAATGTGTTTTGTCCTTGTGAAAGTATATCTTCATCACAACTATCTAAATGTGTGAACTCCCATTGGTATCACAGTGTCAGTTATTTTGCAGCACTTGAGAAAAATATTTTTTGTGTTAAGAATTTCTAAGTGTTGTGTGCTACAGAAATATAATGTCCATTCCAGCCCTATCTTATTAAACTGCAGATCGTTATTGTTAAGATATGGTAGACCTCATTAGTGGGACACCGAGCAATTTTGCAGTCTTGCTATAGTTTAAATCTTCTTCATTAATGCTTGTTTTTCTGTACGGTTTTGCATCACCATGCTGAGATTTTTGCATAAAAATGAAATGTGACTCACTTTGCAAAGCTGAGCTTTGATGTATGTTACATCTTTGCCTTTTATCGTAAGTTTTATAATAAAACTTATACAATTAAACTCTGTGGCCTTTGAATGCAAAGTAATAAAGTGGTGGTATTTTCACAGAATGAAAATACATTCTATGGCCTTATTATCAATAAAAATAATATATAAAGTAGATAGTGTTGTTTTCCCCTCTTACTTGAAAATTAAAATCCTTGACTTCTCTGTAAACACTGGGGCTATTGGTGAAATTGGACAGTTCTTATTCCTTGTATATAATGTTTCTGAATGATAAAATACATATCTAGTCTATCCCAGTAAGGATCTCTGATTTTAGTTTCAAATAATAATAGTAGAAGTTAATATCAAGAGAGGATCTTTCAGTGAAACACTATCATCACTACTGTTTGTTATTGCATTGACTCCTTTGTCAACAATACTGAAGAAGTCAGGCCATGGCTATCAAACATCAAAAACATCTTCCAGACTGTAGCACCTGCTTTACATAGACGATCTGAAGTTCTTTGGATAAACACCATCTGAAAACAGGGGTCATCTATACAGCCAACATATTCCAAAGGAGTTTGGATTGGAAAATGTGCCACCTTCACCATCTATAGGGGAATGATAGTGAAAACTGAAGAAATCAAGATGCCCTATGGAAATAACATCAAGAGTCTGGACAAAGAAGATCACTACAAATACCTGGGCATTGTTCAAGCTGACAACATCAAGCATACTGAAGTCAAGAAGGAGCTTGATCTTAGTCCAAATTCAGTGGAGGAAATACCATCACGGTAATTAACATCAAGGTAATTCCAGTCATTAGATACACAGCTGAAATAAGAGCCGAGGTGGTGCAATGGTTAGGGTGCAGTACTGCAGTTACTTCAGCTGACTGCTAGTTCAGCAGATCAGCGGATCAAATCTCACCGGCTCAAGGTTGACTCAGCCTTCCATCCTTCTGAGGTGGGTAAAATGAGGACCCAGATTGTTGGGGGCAATATGCTATTTAGTATATTGTCTTTGATGTAAGCCGCCCAGAGTCCTCGGAGAGTGGATGGCATAGAAATATGAATAATAAATAAAAAAATAAAAATAGTGGATTGGATGCTAAAAGCCCTGGATAGGAAGACCAGAAAAATAATGACAGTGAAAAATGCCTTTCATCCACACAGCAATATTGACAGACTATTTAAAAAGGAAAGTAGATGGATGTGGAATATTGCACAAATACACCAGATAGTTGAAGATGATAAAATGGTATTGGAAGAATATCTGAAGGACAGTGAAGAAAATGCACTGAAGTTAGTAAACCGTGAAGGCTTATTGACTGTAGAAGAGATCAACCTGGCCTACAAGAAACACCAAATAAAAAACACAAGAGACGTGGCAAAGCACAGTCTTAACATGGCTAGTACAAAAAAAAAAAAAAAAACAACCTAGCAAGCAAAACAGAAAACAATAAGATTCATGGCTAAGAGCTGGAAAATTGAAGAGAAAAAGGAGCTAATTCTGGCTGCACAGGACCAAATCTTATCAGCATATAAAACCAGAATTGTGAAATTAACAACAGACAGCAAATGCTGCCTCTGCAAAGAAGCTGAAGAAACAGTGAACCACTTAGCTGGTGCAAGAAAATTTCACAGGCTGACAACAAACAGCATGACAAAGTATCAACAATTTGGAATTTCTGCAAGAAATTCCACTTGCCTACAGGCAAGACCTGATGGGCTACAAAATAGACAAAAGAATGAATGAATGAAGAAGCTAAAGTGCTCTGGGACTTTAGAATTCAAACAGACTGGCATCTACCATTTAACATTCCATACTTAACAGTTGTCGATAAGAAAAACATTATTTATATAGTATACGGCAATAAGAAAGACAGTCTGGATAGTGGACATTGTAGTACGTGGAGACAGCAGAAGAGAAGAGAAAAACTGGAGAAAATCACAAAATGCAGAAACCTTCAAATAGAAGTAGAATGACTGTGGCAAAAGAAAGCAAAGCTAATACCAATAATAATAATAGGTGCCTTGGGTGCAAGCCCAAAACATCTGGAGCACCACTCGAACGTCATCGGCATTGACAAAATCACCACCAGTCAATTGCAAAAGGCAGCTGTATTTGGAAGAGCTTACACCTGTCACAATACCTTTAACATTTTTAAACATCTGCCTATCCCAGATCCTTGGGAAGGACTAAATAGGTGGATAAAAATGCCAAATCCAGTCTTAATGTCTGTTGACTGTGCAACCAATCATAATAGGAAAAACATTTCTCACGGTTATAAAATATTCATCAAGAACATTTTTGTTGTTTTTGCATGGACTGTACCATCAATGATATTGCTTAGATACAGTGTGTGGGTTTTAAGTTTATAAGGGGTGGGGGAGCTGCTCCAGCATTTCTGGCTATATCCTGCATCTCTCTTTACTGACATAGACAATATAAAGAGATGCTGGAAGATTCCAGACAGTCAGTTCTTGTGTACCTGAACACTTCTTTTCCACAATACTGCAGTATTTGTTTGTTTCTAAGATGACACAAGGGTAAGAATTTAACAGGAAACATTCCTGGCTTATTTTTCTGGCTTGTGTATTTGAGAACACAGGAGAGAGAAGGAATCATTGTTCAGCAAAACCTGAGTTTCAGCCCAGGAAAATTTATGGCTCCACTTTGAAAAGGCCTTTGGAATAATAGACAAGTAGTGCCAGATACCTTATTTCTTTTTCTTTGCAAAGAGCAACCTCCTTTTTTCCCCTCTCCCATCCCTGCAGCATATATATATTTGTGGTAGGTAGAAAAGGAATATTTGGTTCAGCCTTGTCTGCGCTGGCAACATGCCACCCAGCTGCTGCTGTTACATTTCTCTCACACAAGAGGATTAAGTGTACCGGTCCCTCTATTCTTAGCAAGCATTTCTCTTGTGTTCTGTTCTTGGTTACTGTTAGGTCAATTTAGAGAGACTTGGGTGAGCATGTGCCTATAATTTTGTGCTCCTGTTGATTGGAAAGCCTTGACTCTGCCATCCAGCTCTCTCCTTCGCTCACTAAACTTCTCTCACTTCTCTCAAACAGAAACTAGATCAAAAATAATGCCCAATGTACAGGTAACTTTTGCCTTCTAGGACTGAGGACCTTATGCTAAACAAGGAATTGCTGACATTCTTGTTTTTGCCGGATTACTTTGCAAGATTCACTCCAGTACTAAGCAACAAACATTCACATCCCCTAAGGCAGTGGTGAAATCCATTTTTTTTACTACCAGTTCTGTGGGCGTGGCTTAGTGGGCGTGGTGTGGCTTGGGCGTGGCTTGGTGGGCATGTCAGGGGAAGGATACTGCAAAATCGCCATTCCCTCCCCACTCCTGGGGGAAGGATAGTGCAAAATTTCCATTCCCACCCCATTCTGGGGCCAGCCAGAGGTATTTGCCAGTTCTCTGAACTACTCAAAATTTCTGCTACCGGTTCTCTAGAACCTATCAGAACCTGCTGGATTTCACCCCTGCCCTAAAGAAATTTTTTTTTTAACGAAGTGGACACCCTGAAAGATAGTCAGATCTTTTAAGCATACTTTGCACTGTATCTTAATATTGAGGAACTTTGGAAGAGCGTTTGGAAGAGTACATCAAAAGAGATCTAAGTGTGCAAAGACTTTATTTTAAAGATAAAAGATTGTGGCACTAGAAAAGGGGTGATTTAGAGTAGTACTGTAACAGAACTTCTCTTGTGAAAGAGGTGAGCTGGTAGTGATGGATGATACAAGTCACTGAAGTTCCAGAGCCTGCATTTGGATTTCTGATGTTTGTTGGCAAATCTAACATGGTAATTGCAAGTATTTTGTTTAAAAAAAAAAATCAGCTGTACACAATTGTTGAAAAAAGGAAAAAGAAGAGGGACACAAAAGTGGTAAATTGCCTCTAGCTATGTTAACTTGACAATATCAAATTAAACCCTGTAGGAGGTGCTGTTGGTTTACAAATGTGCACAAGCATCTCCGATTAGAATTTGTTTAAACCATGCAAACATAGCCCTCCCGCTCCTAGCCACAAGATGAAAGTGGTGCATGGTAGATTTTTTTTAGCAGATCTCTACCCACAGAACACCCGCTCATGGGAAAACAGAACAACCTGCAGTAATAACTTTCTGTACCTAACTTTAAAAAAAAAGAGTCCATGATAGCATCTCCTAAATGTACAAATCTGAGACAAAAGGATGTTCCACAAACTTAACTTTTTTTTTCTGCAGAAAAAAATTGCTAGATGGTTCTTGCTTCAGTCTAAATCTTGGGATTATGTGTTGTTGGGATTATGTGTTGAGATCTAGA